GCTCATTTACCATTCTGAAAATTCTCGGGGTCTTAAGAATCATGCTAAATTAGGGCACCTGGTGGCTCAGTTGGTTAAGTGTCTGACTTTTTTTTTAAAGATTTTATTTATTATTTATTTGACAGAGAGAGACACAGAGAGAGAGGGATCACAAGCAGGGGTAGTGGGAGAGGGAGAAGCAGGCTTCCCGCCCAGCAGGGAGCCCGATGCGGGGCTCAATCCCAGGACCCTGGGACCATGACCTGAGCCAAAGGCAGACGCTTAACGACTGAGCCACCCAGGCGCCCAAGCGTCTGACTTTTGATTTCAGCTTGGGTAATGATCTCAGGGTGCTGGAATCAAGCCCTGTGTCAGGCTCTGCGCTCAGCAGGGAGACTGAGAATTTTCTCCCTCTCCCTTTGCCTCTCCCCCTGCTCATGCTCTCTCTCTTTCTCTAAAATAAATAAATAAATCTTAAAAAAAAAAGAATTGTGCTAAATTTACTATGTGTTTGCTCTATAAGTAGAGCAACAAAGCCTAGATGACAGCACATCTGTTTACAACACAGCTTACTGAATCTTTTAAACCCATTGTTGAGACCCACTGCTCAGAAAAAGATTCCTTTCAAAATAGTACTTACTAATAATGCACCTGGTGACCCAAGAGCTCTGATGGAGATGTACAGTTAGATGTATGTTGTTTTCATGCCTGCTCACACAAAATCCATTTGGCAGCTCATGGATCAAGGAGTAATTTTGATTCAAGTCTTATTATTGAAGAAATACATTTCGTAGGGCTATAGCTTCCACAGACAGTGATTCCTCTGATGGATCTGGGCACAAAGTCAGTGGAAAGTCTTCTGGAAAAGAGTCACTCTTCTAGATGCCATTAAGAACATTTGTGATTCATGGGAAGAGGTCAAAATATCAACATTACCTGGAGTGTGGAAGAAGTTGATTCCAACTCTAAGGGATGACTTTGAGGGCTTCCAGACTTCAGTGGAGGAGGCCACTGCAGTTGTGGTGGGAATAACAAGAGAACCAGAATTAGAAGTGGAGCCTGAAGATGTGATCAAACTGCTGCAAGCTCATGATAAAGCTTCAGTGGATGAGGGGTTGCTTCTCATGGACGAACAAAGAAAGTTGTTCCTTCAGGTGGAAACTACTCCTGGTGACGATGCTGTGAACATTGTTGAAATGACAACAGAGGACTTAGAACATTCCATAAGCTGAGTTGGTAGAGAAGCGACAGGGTTTGAGAGGATTGACTCCAATTTAGAAAGAAGTTCTATTGTGGGTGAAATGCTATCAAACAGCATTCATGCTACAGAGAAATCATTCATAAAAGGAAGAGTTAGTTAATGTGGCAAACTTCATTGTTGTCTTATTTTAAGAAATTGCCTTAGCTACCTCAACCTTCAGTAACCACCACCCTAATGAGTCAATAGCCATAAACACAGAGGCAAGACCCTCCACCCGCAAAAAGAATATGACTCACTGAAAGCTCAGGTGATGATTAGCTTTAATTTTTAGCAATAAAGTATTTTTAAATTAAGATATGTACCTTGTTTCTAGATATAATGCTATTATTGTACACTTAATCGACTACAGTATAGTGTAAACATAACTTTTATAGGCACTGGGAAACCAAAACATTCATTTGACCTGCTTTAATGCAATAGTCACTTTATTGTGGTGACTGGAACAGAATCCACAATATCTCTGAGGTGTGCCCCTACTGTATGGGACTAGGAATTTTTATTTTTAACAACTTCCAGGTGATTCTAGTGGAGGTAGTCCAAATACCACATTTCGAGAAAGACTGGACCAAAGGGGACAAAAGGGTGATGAATATAGAAAAGAATATGTAGTCTGATTTACAAAATAACTGTTGAATCATTTGCAGCTTATATCCCCTGCCTTCAGATGGGCAGAGGTGGTCTTCCCCTAACAATCAGTAGTCTCTCAAACATGCTACCTTATTTCCAATATAGTTCCCAAACAAAATGCAGAGAGAAAGAAGTTTCCCCATGGACTAAGTTTCCATTTCCTATCTAGGTTTCACTTTCTTTAAGATTTTATTTATTTATTTGACAGAGAGAGACACAGCAAGAGAGGGAACACAAGCAGGGGGGGTGGGAGAGGAGGAAGCAGGCTCCCCGCTGAGCAGGGAGCCCAATGGAGGGCTTGATCCCAGGACCCTGGGATCATGACCGCAGCCAAAGGCAGACACTTAATGCTTAACGCTTAACGACTGAGCCACCCAGGTGCCCCTCTAGGTTTCACTTTCTTGAAAGAGAAGCTTTTCCCTGAAAACTGGATACTACTCATCTTCCCTTATAAAGTAGCTGGACTGTCATAAAGGTGGGAGTCAGCATCCCTACCAGAGATACACAAGTAGCTCATTTACTTTTACATAACCACATAAATTATGAAAAACAAGGATAACTTGTATTTTTCACGTTCCTCATCTTTATAAAACATCTTTATTTTTTAGTTCTAAATGGTCTCATCAGTAATTTAGTTCATACTGACCTCAACCAAGCTTAGGCCTATTCCTCTTCACAGACCCTCCTTCAGCATGAGGTGAACATCCCTCCTATAATTAATTGCCTCCCTGCTGTCTAATGGGATTTAGCTCCTAATGCTTCTGGAATGTGATCTAGAAAAGAAATACTCTCCAAAGGAAACAATAAATTTGCAAAGATAAAATTGCCTAACTCAGGCTGGATACATTGCACAAGGAGAAACAAGCATCCCCATTCCGCATCACACATGGATGAAATGTGGACTTTTTAAAGAAAGTTAGTTGGAACAAAATATGTGCAAACACTCTCAATGTTCATGTTTTTGTTCTTCAGCTTTAGAGTAGATGTTTCCTGCTTCTACAGCTGTTGGGTGTGTCCCTCCTCCTGTTCCTGTGATCTAAACCTAAAAAAAGGCTTCTCAAAAAAGAAGAAAGAAGTTGAGTAGAGTTACAAGTACACACACACACACACACACACACACGCGCGCGCGCGCACACAATGTGTATTAATATTTTACAGGGTCCCATGAACATTTCAGATTTTTAGATTCACAGTAAACCAACCCTTCCCATTTTAGAGAATATTTTTGCCTAACATTACAAAACTAAATCTGTCCCACCCTGTTGCTTTTTCAGAACTAAGGAAGTTTATAGTAAATAGTGTATTGTCTCCAACTTAGCTTGCCTGAGAAAAAAACTGCTTACAACTCAAAGCCAAATTCCTCAAGGTGTTTTCTAGTGCAAAGCCAACCACAACAGGAAGAGGAAGTACGTGGTATCTTACACTTAATATGATTTTGTTATTCTCTCCCCAAGTGCCAAAATCTCCTCACAGAGTAAAGTATCCATGGAAGTGCAGGGAACAGCTTCTGGGTGTCTGAGGTGAGGCTGCCTTAGATCTTCGAACTACTACTGAGCAGCCTCCTGCCTTTACACAAGCCATATTTCCCACTGGTCTGCTTTCATGGAATTTTTCCTTGACTGCTCCTCTAGAGCTACAACCCTCCTGAGGCTTTTCCATGGGCTTCCACTCAGCCAAATTACTTTCTCCAACCAGGACCTTTAATCTAATTTGAGCCTGAGAAAGTGTGGTCCAACTCTGAAAGAAGTCAGACTGTGATAAACAATGTTCTCAATGGGATTTAGGCCAACAGAACAATGTTTCTAACAAAACACACTGAAGACTCTACTGCAGTTGCAAGCATGGCTAACAACCCATCCCTTCTTAGAATCGACCAGCACACACACAAACCCTATTCTATCTTACTGAGACATCCCATGATCAGTTCTTCCTAACAATAAACCCCAGGTATGACCTGATGGCCTTTTCTTCGGTTGGTGGGCTATAACTGGCTTTTGTTAGTTCTGGGTGACTTCAACTCTCAGAGTGACTGTCCCATAGAGGTGGAGTCTCCTTATTTTCCCTTTCCCTAGAAGCCACACTATCCCCCTCACATGATGAAGCTCCCCAAGTTCCCTTTCTTTGTCCCAGAATAGAGCTTTCCTTAAGGAAAAACACCAGGATATGCTGTCCTCAGTTGCTAGTTACCCAATTACTCACCTTGTCTTCACCTGCAGATAGGGAATATCCACCACAGGCTGATAGGGGATTTGCTGCCTTTGGCACCTACTGCTTGCTCATCACCTTCCTCCAGAGGATTCCTGCTGGATGTGTGACAGCCACTTCAGCCTCTCCCCCTCCTCCGCAGCCACCTCCATTCCTGGCCTGATTTAATTCCACATCTTCTCTTGCTTGCTTGAGAATGGACAATTTCAAGTAACCAGCTGTTCTACCTCTCCATATTTCTCTTCCAGGATATGAGGCATGAGGCTGTAGGGATGAGAGCAGACCTGGACTTCCTTTTCCACGGTCCAAATAACTTTGTGCCTAAGAAACCAAACCTCTCAATCAGACCTAATCTCACCTTCCCCAACCCAAAACTGTCAGATACCTAGGAAATCAGTTTTACAACCATTCCATTTCTCTCCCAGCGTATTGGTGGAGTTTTGCATTGTCTGTCCTTGTGAGCAAAGATGAAAGATCTTTTCTTATGAGCTTGGGTAACTAATTTGTAAAGAACAAATATTCCTTTTTTCCTTAAGATTTTATTTATTGGGGCACCTGGGTGGCTCAGTTGTTAAGCATCTGCCTTCGGCTCAGGTCATGATCCCAGGGTCCTGGGATCAAACCCCGCGTTGGGCTCCTTGCTCAGAGGGAAGCCTACCCCTTCCTCTGTCTCTCTCTGTCAAAAAAAAATAAATAAAATCTTTTAAAAATTTTATTTATTTATTTGAGAGAGAGAGAGAGCACAAGCAGGGGGAGCGGCAGGCAGAGGAAGAGGGAGAAGCCGGCTTCCCCCCTGAGCAGTGAGCCTGACGTGGGTCTTGATCCCAGGACCCTGGGATCATGACCCGAGCCGAAGACAGACGCTTAACCGACTGAGCCACCCAGGCGCCCCGAGAACAAATATTCTTTCTACTTCTGAGGCCTAAAGATAAGCAGGGAGTAATTTTTCCTTGTAACTATACTGCTCTGGTTTGTGTCCTCTTTTAGGCATAATACCAAAAGACTTCCCTAAGGTGAGCTCATTTCTGCTAGTGAACAATCTAGCTTCCTCAGCGCAGACGTCTTTCTCCTTTCTGAGGAGTTGAAAGTCTCGCCAGTAGAGAGCTGCTCATTACCCTATCCTCACCACAATGGAGCTGTCACCTCTCTTTCACAGGCAAACGCCTCAGGGGCCTTCCCTGCTTGGGTCTTACCCCTGCAGTTGTCTGGTGGGTGGAGTCTCCTGCTTCAGAGCTCCTATCCTCCTCCCCAGTCAGAGGTTGAGAGGTCTGTAAGGAGTGACTCTCTCACTATCACAACCCTCTTACAGATTGTTGGTGGAGCTTTGTCCCCAATCACTCTGTTGCTCGACATCAGCCGTTTATAACCCCCAATTTAACTCCACCTTCCCTGCCCCACCACACTGCAACCTTGCTAAGTATGCACAGCCTTGGCAACTTCACTGACCCATATTCCATTAATTTACAGATCCTTTCTCTCTAGTTGTGTTATAATTTGCACAATTCCTCACCTCCTCAGAGAATTACCTGACTTCCTGGATACCTTGCTAAATTGCTTCACAAACTCCCATGTCCTCACAATCTTTTTTATTGATTTCCCCTGGGAGAACTCTCTTCCTCCTACTGAATGGCTTGACACCCCAGTGATGCCACACAGAGAAAAATCTAATTAATACTCACACAAGTCAGCATGATATAATTAAGAGTTGAGGTTCTGAAGTCAAACTGCCTCAATTCAGTTTTGCCCTTCCCTAAAGAACATTACCATTTACTACCAAGAACTTGATAAAATTACTTAGTCTTTTTGTTTCTCAAGTAAATAAAAAATAATTATGGAAACCTTAGTTATATAGTTGATAAGGTAGATCTGATGGATAATATGTCCAGTTAAATATCCTAAAGAGGCAATACACTTTTCTTTCAGTTGCCCATGAATACTCACAAAAACTATTAGGCCACAAAGAAAAAAGCCTCAGCAAAGTCCAAACAGTAAACAGTAAAGACAGTATTCTCTAATTACAACACAATATAACTAAAATTTAATAAAAATCGAAGGGCCAAAACTTCTTCTATGTGGAAATTTAAAACTATTTTAAACAATGCTTAGAACAAAGAGAAGTCACCAACTGAAACCGTAGACAATGATAACATACACAGACTTGTGATGTTACTTGCTGCAGCCAGCCTGCACTCCACGTGTTCCTGTGTCTCAGCCTCCTGGCTCCTCTACCAGCCTCCGCAGATCGCAATGCAGGAAGAAATCATCACACTAGCCATTGACAATGGCTTTGGCATGTGTAAAGTTGGCTTTGCTGGGTATGATGACCCCTAGACACGTTCCCATTTATTGTCAGGCACCCAACACCAGTAAATCACGGTGAGCATGAGGCAGAAGGACAGCTACATGGGTGACAAGGCCCAGAGCAATTGCTGCACACTGACCACGAAGTACCACATGGAGCGCGGCATCATCACCAACTGAATTGGGGAAAACCTGGCTCCACACCTTCTATAATGAGCTACATGTTGCTCTGGAGGAGCACCTGGGACTGCTGACTGAGGCACTCCTGAACCTCAAGAGCAACAGACAGAAGATGACTCTGATCACGTTTGCGACCTTCAACCCTGGGTCATGTGCATGGCCATCCAGGCTGTGCTATCCCTTTATGCCTCTGCTCACACCTCTGGTATTGTCATGGGCCCTAGGGATCTACTAGGGCTATACCCAACCTCAGTCATCCTGGGTCTGGACTTTGCTGGCTGGGACCTGGCTGACTTCCTCATGAAGATCCTCATGGAACATGGCTACAGCTTCACCTCCACAACTGAGCAAAAAATCAAGAACTCTGCTGTGTCACTCTGGACCTGCAGCAGGAGATGGCCACCACTTTGTCCTCCTCCTACCAGGAGAATTATGAGCATCCAGATAGCCAGGTGATCACATGAGCGATGAGTGGCTCTGGTGTTGAGAAGCTCTTTCGTTTCTCCTTCCTGGGTATTGAGTCCTGTGAGACCATATCCATGAGACTACATTTAACTCCATCATGAAGTGTGATGTTGAAATTTAGAAGGACCTGTATGTCAACATGGTGTGTCTGGTGGGACCGTCATGTACTCTGACATTGCCAATAAGATGCAGAAATAGACTACTGCCCCAGCTCGCAGCAAAATGAAGGTCAAGATCATCATTCTTCCTGAAAGTAAATACTTGGTGTGGATTAGAGACTCCATCCTGGACTCACTAGCCACCTTCCAGCAGATGTGGATCAGCAAGCAGAAGAAGGACAAGTTGGGACCCTCCATCATTCACTGCAGATGTTTCTAAATTGTCTGAAAGAAGATTCACTGCATTTGCTGCATGAGGTGACTCAGAAGTATACATTTGCCTCACCTCCTGCTGGCCTCATGAAACTGGAATAAACCTTTGAAAGAAAGTTATCATTGAAGGTTGTATCTATTATTAGCACTGGATTGTAGAATTTGCTGCTGACTTTGATGTTGTATTCAAGTTAAGTGTTCCCTTGCATATGTTTAAAACCCTGCATATGTCTTTGATTTAAATCCTTAGTACATGTGGCTTAGTCACTTTCTAACTAAGGTGAAAGAACAGGTTTATAGAAGAGAAATCCATTGGCTTGGTGAGAATTTGCAAGACCATCAATTTCTTGATATGTGTGGAGTATTAATGCGTAAGAACTGACTATTCCAGGATTTCTCTAGAGGCTGGCAAGAGTTATTGGACCACTTGTTATTTCTGTCTTGCTAGTCTTATAGGGTTGGCAAAGTCCAAGCCTTCTCACTCAGTTTCCTTTCTTGCCTGATGTTTCTCTGCCAGAACATGGTGGGTCATTACTTGCTTTGAATTGGAAAAGGTTTTGCATTTACACCTGTAAATTTATTCATTGTTTTAATCTATGTCATTCTCCAGGGGCCATCTCTGAGAGAGCCAGACTGGTGAATTAAATGGAGATATGATAGTGAATCCTTCACCACCTTTGAATCCTTCAGGTCTTTAATGGTGGCATTAATGTCTGCCATCCACCCTGGTATATGATGTTATTTTTATTTACTATCTTGGCGAAGCTGGTAGTTTCAGCAGTTTCCATATGGCTTTCCACACTATTATAGCTTTTATGCTTGCATATTGGGGTTGTGGGCTATACTCCAAATCCCAAATATACCAATTTCAGTTATGTACTTGGGGGTTGAGGAAATGACCTTTGGGTGGGTCCATAGACCCAATGGGTATATGATGAGCCAGATTTTAGCCAGGACTCCATTAATTAGTCCTTGTAGGCCCAACTCTCATAGAGGGGGCATCTGTGTTGGTGCTTTTGGTTAATGTTAACTCAGATCCTGTGTCAAATAGTCCTAAAACAGTTTGGTTAGTCTTCTTCTCACACTGTACAATCACTTAAGTAAGTGGCTATGGGTCTCTTTGGGGGAAGGACTGGGGAAATCATCACTGTATACATTTTTTTTTAAAAGATTTTATTTATTTATTTGACAGAGAGAGTGAGAAAGGGAACACAAGCAGGGGGAGCGGGAGAGGGGGAAGCAGGCTTGCTGCAGAGCAGGGAGCCTGATGTGGGGCTCGATCCCAGGGCCCTGGGATCACGACCTGAGCCGAAGGCAGACGCTTAATGACTCAGCCACCCAGGGGCCCTCCATCACTGTAAACATTTGCCATGATGGTTGCTAGGTCCTTCCTTCTAGAGACTCAGCTACCTCTTCAGTCAATGGGATTCAGATCTGAAAATGGCCCAGATCTGGGAACTGAGCAAGGGATTATGACTTTTTATAGGGATATGACCACCCTTAGCCCCCTGCTCTAGTATTCTTGCTTTTTGTTGATTGTAGAAGTTAAAAAAACCATACTTGTTCAATTTCACTGTTAACCTAAAACTACTCTAAAAAATAGTCTATCAATTAAAAAAAATTACCCCCTCCTTGGTATATTTCTTTGGACTTTATTATCACAGAGAGTAGGAGAGTATAGTTCTGTCTTACTCTTTTGCCCCTAGGGACGCCATCTCTATTAACCACCTCCACAACTTCTTCAGATTAAGCCCCTTCAACCACTTTTCTGACCTTGTCCATCATTGTGGGCAGCTTCCTGGCCTTTGTTACTTTAGAGCTCCATTATCCCCATGGATGTTCATGAGCTCAGCGCTATGCTTGCCTCTTCCTCTGTCAACCCAGTCTATAGAAGAGCTACCACTGAACTTTCTAGTGATACTGCTGCCCTTCTCACCAGGACATTCCTTGTGGCCTTCATGCATGGGTTGTCCTCAAGGTCCTCCTCTGAAACTTTGGGGGCTCTTCTGGATTTACGTTGTGTATTACACAGCATTCTCACTTCACTCAGCCTTTCTATTTCTTCTGCTACTCTCTGCAAGAGCAACCGAGGCACTTCCACTTGGCTGAGAATTAGGCATCATCTTATCCAGCCTCCTCATCCATGAGTTTACCACATCTGCTGGGGTCCTTTCCAGGGTATTAAATTCCATAATCTGAAAAAGTGTCCCTAAGCCAATTCTTGCTTATTGAACCTATGTATTAAGCACCTGTGTGGTATTGGAGTGGAACTGGAGATATTGATATGAAGTCATGGTTTGTAATATATTAATACAGATAGAACTATATAGATATGTATATGTATATGAATACTTATATTTTCTTTTTGGGGGGTTTCCTTTCTTTAATTTAAATTCAATTAATTAACATATACCATATTATTAGTTTCAGAGGTAGAGTTCAGTGATTCATCAGTTGTGTAGAACACCCAGTGCTCATTCCATCAGGTGTGCCCCTTAATGCCCATCACCCAGTTACCCCATCCCCACACCCACCACCCCTCCAGCAACACTGTTTGTTTCCTATAGTTAAGAGTATCTTATGGTTTGTCTCCCTCTCTGTTTTCATCTTATTTTATTTTTCACAGGTTTGTTTCTTTTACTAACCAGAATCATGCCATATGTATTGTCCTTTGATGTGCTTGTTAGAGATGTTCTCAGCCTAGCACACTCCTTTTATCCATTGTATATTCCACAGAATTAGTGTCACTGTTTGGGTTGCT